ATTTTTCGGAAGACGAATTTTACGTTAGGACCTAATATTCCAACAATCAACATCCAAACCTAGCTTTGGAAGGTTACTGGTCCGACATGATCTCTCAAAGGATGATACAGATAAGGTGGCCCTAGAATAATCGGACTTGGCACCGTGATCTCTTCGTTGCTTTACTTTGCAATTATCGAACTGTTCCACTTCCCTCTTCGCATTTTGCTATCCATTGAAATTTGTTACGAACCTGCGTATAACGGGGCAATCTTGTGGACAAAGCCTTTGCCGATCGCTCTTAGTTAATCTTCTTTTGAGAATTAGGAATAGACAAGGGTCGTGGCAAATGACTTCCGGGTTTTAATCATCAAATTCGTTCCGCCCTAGGGCGGTTGGTTTTTCAATAATAACAAGATTCGCATATTAGTTGCTTCCGATCGAATCAAAAAGCTAATAATGTACTCCTCAATAATGCAACTTCCAAATCGTTCGCACTATAGAACCACCTTTCCGGCTGCTGGAAAATAAGATTCAAGAAACTTGCTGTGATGATCTTGTCTGCTTTGATTGGTTTTAAAGCTAGGTTGTTTTACCGGACGTCCGGACGTCCGGTACTCCCCTGACCGTCCGGGATGTCCGACCGGACGTCTGGTCAGACGTCGGATCGGACAGGGGTTGTCCGACCTAGCGCAAAAAAAAAAAAAAAAAAAAAAAAAAAAAAAAACATCATGTGGCTTCTACCTTGCATAAGGTGTATGCCACCAAAATTTTGGCTCATTTGATCCAGTGGAAAAAAAGATAAAAATCTTCAAAGTTTCTAATCCCCACCTATACCCCTCATATCCCCACCAAAAACCCTCGTACCCTCCCCTCCCACCCCAAATAGCACCCTATCACCAAATGCTCAGAAAATTCTGAATTTTTTTATGGGGGATCTCTATGGCATGCGCAACACTTTCATAATTTTTTTTAATTTATTTTTTTTAATGTCAAAAAGTGGTTGTCCGAGATCCCGGACAACCCCCCTACCGGACGGTTGGGGGAGACGTCCGGCCATCGGACGACTGGTAACCTAGTTTTAAAGGCAAAAAATCAGTTATCAAGTCTTTATACAAGTGACATTCTATCAGAAGATCTGTTTTTCACGCAAAAATAATCTTGGGACAACTAAGTAAAAAAAAAAAAAAAAAAAAAAAAATGGAAAGGAAAGGCAGTTTAACTCGACCATTTTTCATTCAAAGTGTAACATTCGCTGCAACCAACAAGGCGGTGATTATTACAGCTTCAATTTCTGGTGTTTTGTCTTGGGAAGGACAAACGGTTTTTTAGGATCAACTAAAAATGCCGATTACTAGTTTAAAACCAACTTAACCTTGGGACTTAAAGGACCAATGGTTTCTATTTTGAAAGTTTCAAGAGGTTTACCTATGAATAAGGTGTTCACTGCTGAGTATCCCAAGGATCCGTCTATTCTATTGAAGGATAGCAAAAGGCATTCAAAGCTGGTCACTTTAATAACAGTAGGACATTATAGGTGTTTTTTAAACCATCAAGGACAGGCGAAACTCGCCCGCAGACCTGCTAAGCCACCTACTTCCCTACTCACTTAAAAGCTCAACCAAGTACTGCATTTTACCTATATCTAATTTGTGTTAGTCAAAGCCATCGCAAAAAAAAAAAAAAAAAAAAGGAGAGAGAAAGAGAGAGGGGGAGGAAGAGAGATAAGAAAGGAGGGACAAGAAGAAGGAGAGAAAGAGAGGAGTAAGGAGAAAGGGAATTGGAAGGCTCACTTACCATTCGGCAAAACCCAACCGTAGAGTCAGATCCATGTGGTAAGCAATGCACAACTGCAAGATAGGAACAGTAAAAAAAAAGGAACTGCGTTTGCCAGAAATCAAGACACTAGCCTCACGCATTGAAATCTTTACTGCGCAGATGGTTTCGCCGCCTAACCCGCCAACGGTCCCTACTTCGGAGGTGAGATGCAAGATGGCAGCGAATGTGAGGAAACTAAAGATGCCGCTATTCCATGGAGCTAAGCACATCGACGTCACTACCAAACTGGCAAAGTTTATGGTTGTAGACCCAAGAGAGGCTACTTTCTCGGATCCTGGAGCGGCAAACCTCCTCTGTTTCGTAAACAGGTCGGCAGTTGCTTATTATAGTAACCTTGGCGGATTCAGGAACACGCTAGAAATCAGCAAGCTGGTACTGCACCTCCAGCAACTGGCAATAGGCAAGGTTCCCAGAATGGACCAAGAGGATCAAACGACCTTTTAGCTAATCGAAGCAGATTTCTAGGCCTTAGCATTAGGAAACTGGTACTGGGCCGCTATTTTCACCAATTTTTCTACAGACGTTGCCACTGGAAAGCCTCTGATTGAGCTAAAAAGGGAAGAACTAGCAACCACCATTGCTCTGGATGCCCAACACGCTTTTCAACTTAGACCGCTAAGCCAGACCTCCTTCCTGGCTTTAGGGTTTGCTCTGGCTGAACTCCCGTGCCCTCCGAACAGACCATCCGTGAAGAGAATTCTGGACTTGACCGACATCCATCATCTGTGGAGTCATTTTGGTAATTCAGATTTTTCCACAGACTTGCACCCTGCAATGGTCAATTTGCTGCAAGAAGTTTTAGCAGGATTATCGGACTATTGCTTTGAGGCCTCTAGATTGCGAGTCTGGTTCAACCTGGGGCCAGCAGAATGGTTCCGAGCAATCTTGGATGCTTCAAAATTTGTGCTTCCAGCTGACCCGGAACCAGAGCACTCGGAATAAGCCAAGTAGTAAGCTACTTCGATCTAGAAGGTCTTTAATCCTTAAAAAGGTTCCGGCAGTTGGAAGAGTAGGGAAGGTCATGATTCGGCCTTGGTTTTATCGTGTTCTTGAATCAAAGTTGTTTTCTGCTCAATTGCTTGAAGGTCCTATCAACTTAAGATAACTTGATCAAGTAACAGTTCTCAGATCCTGTCTATATTTCAAATCGCCCCTCAACAGGTCTTTGGCAATTCAACCTGGGTCTTTTAGAAGTAAAACGGGAAATGTGAGGAAACTGGAATGACTAGAATGAGCTTTGGTAAAGATAGTTGGGCATCACTTGTTCTGCAATTGTACTTGTTCCACTTAAATGCTTAAAATCCTGATAAACTTGGAAAGGGCCACATATAGCAAGGTACTACGTTGCCACTTGTACGCACCCTCGTACGAGTACGGATTCGTACTCTTGTACTTGTACGCTACTCGTACGCTAGGGACCCCGTACGAGTTTTTTTTTTTTTTTTTTTTTTAAATCCGGTATTGTTTTTATTTTGTTTCTCGAATTCTATTAAGAATCGAAAAATGATGCTCAACCAAATGTTGCTTGTTTTCTGGTTTTGCATCACATAGTTTTTTTTTCGGATTTTTTTGATGACTTTTTTTTTTTTTTTTTTTTTTTTTTTGCTTTTTCGTACGGGGGCGTAGAAGACGTACAGGTTCCCGTACAGGTTCCCGTACAGAATCCGTACAAAAATAACCTGTACGTTCCGTACGGGAAGCCCCCGTACGTGTACTCCATGCAACGTAGGCAAGGTACTTTGAATCCTTCCTGTAATTCAAGTTCGGAACGTATTATCTCTTTTCAGTGGTTAATATGGATTGGCTGAATTCAATCTCAATGTGCAGTTAAAAAAAAAAAAAAAAAAAAAAAAGGAAAAAAAAGGGGAAAGAGGGGAAGGAGGGGGGGGGAAGAGCAAAAGGGTTACTCAAACTAGGTGGATTTTTAGACTATGTCTCCTTTATTCTTGGATTTGCTATGATTTGTTGTACAGAACCAATGGAACCAATCATTTTTTAGGCCCTCATGGCCAGAGGCCCCAGAGCCATAATAGGATGGAAGGTTTTCATGCCACTCATGTTCCCCTCGCCGGAAGTTGTAGAAGGAAAGGTGTTAGCTTGTCTCAATCCCCAGGAAAGAAGCCCTCAAAGGTCTGCCTATCTGGTTCCCAGCTCACCCTCACATCCTAAGAACCTCAGACCCCTTATTTGTCCAGAATTCGGCATCTGCAGCCCAACCGCAGCCTGGTAAGCCAGCTTCGGTTGCTGGAACCCCAATCTCATCAGACCCGCAGTCCTTAGTGGCCAACTCTGGTAAGACACTTACCTCAAGGGAAGAGGTAGAAGAGAGAGAATTCCGCTTTATGTTGAACCAGTCCGAGTTGTCAAGAGTTAAAGAGATTTTCTCCTCGGCAGAGAAGGAGGTGGAAAAATGCAAGGCAGCTGTTGCAGAAATTAGGGCATTGCACCTCATCTACAACCAGACGCCCTGGTCAAGGCACATTAACATCCTAATCAGGGTGAGGCATATCGAGCTGAACTTTAAGCATGGCGATAGGGGCAAGATACATGCTGCAACTTTCAGGAATGCCTTAGTAAACCTGCCCAAGAAGCTTTGTGACAAGCGCTTGCCAACAGAAGTTAAGCAAGTCCTTAAGGTTCAAGAGCTAGAAACCTCTAGGCTCGCAATCGACGAAATCAATCGAGAATGGGATGGCCAAGAAGTGAAGGCGGCATCATCCAGAGGAGGGTAAGTAAGGAGCGGTTTACGCACCACTACCCCCTTGAACCTATTTAAGATTTGCAGCTCATTGCATCTGCAAGAAATAATATATTGGGCCTTTGGGAGTTGTTATTGAACGCTCCACACCTTTCAGTGGTGGCCCGTCATTTAACTTGGTCGACTAGCACGGGAACTCAGGTATGCCTTAACTGTGGTTTGTTGCAGGTTCTCTCCGAGTCCAGATTCGGCTAAGTTCAAGACAAAGAGCCCAGCAAAGAGGTCAAAACACCGGCGAAGCGATAGTGATTCCTCTAAGGATAAGAAGGAATGGAGCCACAAGGAGAGGTCACGCAGAAAATCGAGGCACTAAATGGCTTCCCCTCACCTCAACAACTCACAGCAGCAGTAGGAGCACTGCAATCAAGGCTAGAATGGTTGAAATCACCGGAAACCTTTCGCACAGGCTCACTGACAGAACATTTGGAATCCAGGGAAGAACTGTTGGCCTATTCAAACTCCAAGTCATCTAGGGATGTTTTGAACTGGCTTAAAAATGGGGTCAAACTTAACTTTGATGGCACAAGTCACAATCACCAATCGAAAATCCAAGAAGTAAGAAGGATGGTCAATCCTTAGTGCATCTGCTTTCAGAAGAATCATAAAGCTGGAACGCCCTTCTCCCTTGATCTTACCTAACTATGACCTTCCGGACCAGTTCCAGAATTTTGTAACCACTAATGTGGCAGACTTGTTGGCCCAGGGGGTTATCTCCATCTCCACCGCCCCAGTAGTGGTTAACTCGGTTTTCGTCATCGAAAGCTCGAACAAACTCAGATTTATTGTAGATTTGAGATATGTCAACCTTTTTGTCTCTTTTCCAACTTTTCATTATCAGTTCACTGAGGACGCGGTATCTGTTATGGATGGTTCATGTATTCAAGATTTTGTCGTCACATTTGACATCAAAAACGGTATGAACGGCTACTATCACATCCTGGTTCATCTGGAATCACGTCCTTATTTGTCTTTTGTTTGGAATGCTGTAACCTACCACTTCAACACACTTTGCTTTGGAATCTCTTCAGCATGTTGGATCTTTACAACAATTATGAAGGAAGTCATGGCCGCAATTAGAAGGAAAGGAGTACTTATATTTTCCTACATTGATGACAACTTAGCAACACATAGGAACCCAGTATTAACGTGTCTCTAGAACTCCTTCATCATTAACCTTATTCTTCACAAACTGGGCTTCTTCTTGAGCACGAACAAGTGCAATGTTTTCCCGTCTCAGTCCAACAAGTTTTTGGGTTTAATTATTGACTCCCATGAGAAGAGAATAAAGGTGCCGGTTGACAAGGCAGAGAAGATCGCAAAGCTACCAAGTGAGTGTTCTAATGAGTCTCATATTTCGGCTACAAAGATCGCATCACTGACAGGCAAACTTGTCTCTTTGTCTAAGGCTTTCCTATCATCCACCTTACACTGTTCTCACCCTCATGCCGCACTAACTAGCTGCAATTGGAATGTTAGAGTAGAATTGTCGCAGGAATTCAAGTAGGACCTTAGTTGGTGGCTTCAACACCTCCCTACCATTCCAGGCAGACTGTGGAGGATTAGAACACCGTCAGTGGTGATGCAAACAGACGCTTCAGAGTCGGCGGTAGGAGCCATAATATCCTTTAAGGCTTTACCTCCCTGGAAGTTGAGCTTCAACCTCCCTAAGGACTGGCTGAACATGTCCAGCATCCATAGGGAATTCTTCGCAGTGACAACTACGTTAAAGACAGTAGCTGAAAGGAGGCCAGACGCCCTCGGATCCTCAGCAGTAGAGGTAGTCGGGGATAACCAAGCAACCTATTTTCTCTTGAAGAAACTTAGCGCGTCAAATCCCTCTTTCAACTACCTGTTAAGGGAAATTGCGTCAATCTTATTACGCCTGGACTGCCAACTATATCCGGTATGGGTTCCCAAGGAACTCAATCAGGCCGCTGACTATCTTTCTAAGGTTGTGGACCACGTGGATTGGGGGCTTGACAGGGAACTAGTGGACTCGCTTTGCAGCAAGTTTGGAACTCGGGCAATCGATCTCTTCGCCTCAGACGAAAACTTCGTTTGCATTCCCTATGTCTCTGAGCATCTGTCACCATCTTCCTTGGCGGCCGATGCACTAGCTCTAGACTGGAATCAACTTCCTTCCTTGCCTTATAGATGGGTTTTTCCCCCAACATGTCTTCTGCACTAGGTCTTGGCAAGAATGAGAACCTTCGGTGACGAATACCTTCTCATAACTCCAAGTTCGTCAAGAGCCAGCTGGTTTCCCCTCCTTTAGACCTTCAATACCTTGTGCAAGATCAACGCAGAGAGGAGCTTCGACATGCTTCCCGACCTCCAGGGTGCCCACGGGTACCTTCAATCCAGGAAAGACAGGCCTTACAGTGAGCAGAATCTCGGTCGGAGCAAGTTAGCAGCAACCATAGTCGTAGCGCATGAACGAAGAGAACTGCTTCCAAGTCCCTTGACAGAGCATTTTTCCAAGACTCCATCCTGCTTGAATTCCAGCTCGAACTCCACCAATACGAAAGCTGTGGCTACTTTCGCCTGCATAAATTCCAACAATCTTCATTCTCTCCTTTAACCGTTTGTTAAAGGCACTAAGACTCAATTATCCTTTCGTGCGAGTGCTACGAAAGAGGGGACCACCATCCCTTAGATCAATCGGTGGCTCTAACTGACTGTAGCAAACTCGCATTTTTTCCCTCAGCTCCAAGAAAGTGGTACCAAAACCCTGAGGCTCTTGCAATCTTATCACCCCTTGTCTTCCCCTCCTTAGAGTCTTGGTGTACCCAAGTTGAACAATAACGGTCTCTTCGTCCACCTCCTTCCCTTTCAATTGTAACCCCTCCCCTCCCCTCTGCCAACTTTCCCAGAGATATGTCATGATACACAGGTCTCGTAGCAACTCAGCGTGACGATATCCACTCCGACCTTTTAAACTCTCACGAATACTCAAATGCAATTTCTGCATCTTTACTGAAGTCATAGCAGGAGCCTGCTGCTAAAAAACCCTCATCTTCAGAGCATAGTTACGATAGGCACGACTGTAATCTCGCACCTTGCTACTGGTGCAAGGATTTTGAGCTCCATCGCGGCCTAGGATTTGGAAACACCGGCTCAAGCAACTGAGACTGGATTCTATTGAACTACAAGAAGGAAAAGGGTGTCCCTCTTTGTCATAAGTACGGCAACGCTGCTTTAGTTCAGGAATCCATTGACTTCGCAGGAAGGCAATCACATCTAGATCCAGGCAACCCGCAACATCTCTTCCCACTTTGTTCCTCTCCAACCAACTACTCAAGGACTGCATCATCCGTCTCCTCTGAGACTCCTCTCCATTCTTTGGTAAACCATGCTGAGCAATTAATTCAACAGAGTCGATCAATCCTTCTACATATGAACCTTTGATACAGGCATTCTTGGCTCCATCAGTCTCTTGATCCACATGGAGCAGCCTAGTTAACCACCATCTCCTGCACTCAATTCAGAAAGGATCTGAGTAGGTGTATGAAGGTGGGGAATTTGGCTAGGGTGTAGGAGGTGCATGGGGGGTGGTACCCCAGGACTTCTCCAATTTAAAGTAAGATCTCCTTTTGAACTTGAAGAAGTCTTTCTGAACTCGTCATTCTGTTTCATTCAAATGTCAGCAAGAACCCCTTGTTTTGCTATCAGTTTGCTGTTCTGTTTCCCCTTGCAGGTAATTATTCCAGGTGAAGAAAGGATCTGCCCCAAGGTACCCCCGGTGAGAAACTGACTGAAAACATGCCTTATGAACATACACAGAAGGCGTAGCCTTGAACGCCTCATTGGCTGAGAAAACTAACCAGCGCCAAGGTAGCCAGGCTCCCAGACTGACAGCGACAGACCTGACCAAGGGTTGGGGTGGGAAGTGTCACTTACCCGGGGTCATTTACTAAGCCTGACGTGACTGCATTAGCTCCTTGCTCCGCATTAAGACCTTCCTCCGGCCTAGATGCATTGAGAGGCCTCATTTCCACAGGAATTCCAAGGGTATCTTGACAAGGGGCCTCAGAATCACTTGGGAAAAATCCAGGGCCCCTATAGGGCTCTTTTTCGACATTTGGAGCAGCAAAGCAAGACCCGTGTAGGGTGGGCCGGTATTGGGCCTCATTGACGAAGTTACCGCAGGAGAGAGTCTCTACATCCCGAGGGTAGAACCCTCGGGACGGCATCAGCCTTGCTATTTCTAGAGGCCCAAACCCAGAATCTGGGTGACTTTTCACCTGCGCTGTCGTTTTCCCTCTGTTCGCATCTGTGGCGGCGCTCCGTTCTCCGTACCTGCATGCAGTTCATCGAAGGGTGGAGATCTTCAAAGGTTCGCGATTCACCACGCGAAAATCCTGGCCCGCCCGCCCGTTCCCTCGGTGCATGGGGGGTGGTACCCCAGGACTTCTCCAATTTCAAGTAAGATCTCCTTTTGAACTTGAAGAAGTCTTTCTGAACTGATCATTCTGATTCATTCAAATGTCAGCAAGAACCCCTTGTTTTGCTATCAGTTTGCTGTTCTGCTTCCCCTTGCAGGTAATTATTCCAGGTGAAGAAAGGATCTGCCCCAAGGTACCCCCGGTGAGAAACTGACTGAAAACATGCCTTATGAACATACAGGGCCAAATGACAAGCAGGTGCAGGGCCACATGACCGGCCTGGGTTAAGTGACCGGACACGTTCACGGTGACGGCACTGGTGGCGAGGCCCTCAATTAGGTTACCGAAAATCCGCCAGAAACACAGAGGCCGGGGACCTCACAATTCAACCCGGTTTTCAGTCTGGAGTTCATAGCCAGACCAACTGGCTGAGGGCATACTCACACTACCATGCATTTTGGCAAAATAGCAAATTTTATGTGGTTTTCCAGGTCACACCAGGCACGTTTTTTATGTGGTTTTCCAGGTCACACCAGGGCACGCTCACACTGGGTACCAAAACCGTAAAACTCCCAAAAATATGTGCACA